CAAGCAGGAGGCCCACAGTCTCCGCAGGAGCTGAGCTGTCTAACTCGGCGGCCATCGGTGACCTGCCTCACTCCGGCTCATTCCGTTCTTCTCCTCCATCTAACTTCTGCTCGTCTTCCAGGTTTCAGCTCATGGATTTGTGCAATTTGGTCACACACTCCCTCAGAGCCTGCTGCCTCAGATGTCACCTCTGTCACTGGTTAATAAATAACCACCGGGTGTTTACGTCTCACTCCCTCAGTGCATGAGAAGCTGCATGATGTCAAACCCAGCCCTGCCCGGGACGACACCTCAGGGCGGGATTACATATACATTTGTAGGCTGACTGCTGTTTTAATCTCATGGCTCGCACTGAGGAATCGAGTCAGAAAGTAGACTAAATAATAAATATGCCAAGATTCATGCACTTCTCTTTTCAAATTATGTAGCTTCTGTGGTTAATAAAATATAAAGTCTATGAAAAAGCATGTCTGAATTCATGGTTTCTTTTTGCTAGTTATTCTCATAACCCATAAAAATCTGAAGCCCAATTCAGATTATATTACTGTCATTCGGGGAACTCCAAAACACAATCATCCCCCAAATGATGTTAAAGGCAGTCCTCCCATTTAGACACCATTTAATTGAACATATTAGAGACACTCCCCAATAGTGCCTATGGTTAATAAGGGACACTTTCCCAACTTTTTGTCACTAAATACGTCCCTTGGTACAGCAGACTATGACCAGCTGACACATAGTAAGTTGGCTAGTCCTTCAACTACACAGACCCCTCGAGCCATTCTGGGTGGCTCTGGACGCTTCAAATTCTAATACACAGACTGAAAAGCAGGTGTGCCTGACTTGACTTTGTTCCCATTTATTGAAAAACACAAAGTCCTGATTCCTGATACCCAATACCTCTCCTGTGAGCTACAAGGTGTTTGCTTGTTTATTTTAGTGAGTAAGGAGGAGCCACGAGGTTGATGCATCTGAATTCACAACAGACAAAATAAATGGATACACACAGTCACCCTTCAATCAAACAGACCGCTAGTTTCAGAGACGTCATTCAACATATGTTTACTAAGTTCCCGATCATTTATTAGAGGCAGGTGCTAGGCATCCAGGTAAAATTCCTGCCCTCAGTGAGTTTGCCATCAACAGCTACCAAATGATACCTTATTGGGACCATAAGGTACTGTGGGAAAAATATAAGGTACAATGTCTTAGAGTCATGTGGTCCTCCAAACCCCCCCACCACCAGCCTCAACTAAGGCCCCCAGGGCCTTGTACCTGGGTAAGCACTCTACCAGTGAGCTAAATCCCAACCCCTTTGGTCTTTTTTTTTTTTTTTTTTTTTTTAATTTTTTTTTTTTTTTAGAGGGAGGGGGGCTCAATGATAGTGTTTCTCTGT